CTCTGATCACGAACAAGACAGATGAGTTTTGTCAACCTGCCGACTTTTTGCTCCTTGACTATCTGAAGTTCCATGTGGAATGCAGAGACCTGCAAGTATGGGAATATAAGGAAGTAGAGAATATGGAGATTCATGTGAAACGAAAAGACTTGAAAGGTTATGAAACTTAAGAATTGGATAAAAGAATCTCCAAAGTTGTGATGCCTTAGGAAGGGACATATACTAATAAGAATACCGGTACAAAATTTACATACAAAATGCACATCTTTCGTACATACCTTCTGGGTCGCCGAAGACACCTCAGAAAGCAAGGTGGGGGAGAAGGTATTAAGAGGAATGACATTTTCAGAAGCTGTCGGACGTGCACGCGACAAATTATAGTCCCAAACGAACTCTCCGTTGAGACCTCCGATAGTGTACCTAGTATGCATATGTGTAACATGGCAAGGAGAAAATGGTCGCATACAAGCATGATGTTGATTGTTTTGACAACATATATCGGTTACTCGTACGACAAATCGCGAAACGTTGATGCTAATGTGATGTTCAATGGAACAACTTGCTTAGATACCGAAAGCTCACCTTGGGTCCTTAGGACGTTCGCATGTGATCCCTGCAAAGTCGTATGTTGTCCCCAAAACGAACGGATCCAAAATCCTAAAACACTTTTCTATGGTCCAAGGGGTGGATGTGGTTCTATTGACCCGGAATATCAGCTCCATGATCGCTCCATCAGCATCCAAAAGAAGCAACTTTGCAGGTATATAGAAACCAGTACGAGCATCGTAATCAGTGTGAGGCCGAGCGCCGACAACCATCGCTTGTATCATGAAGTTCTCAGGCTTGTGATCAATTATGGCCACAAGCTCTTCAAACTTGCAGAGTGCTATTTCCTGGATTTGGGCAAAGAAAATGGATGAGATTTGAAGTGGTTAAACAGGCAAAAGTTGAATGATACATGAAGAAATGGTGGAGTGCAAAAGATGAACATATTTTGCTGCATTGAGATTACGATTGCAAAACAGACCACTTATGGGATGGAATGGAGGGGGAGAAATTTCAAAACAACCAGAGGAGGGATGCGAAGAATAGGATGGGGTGGAAAGAATGGGGAAACTAAGGCAAAAATGTTGCGCAATATGTTGAACGACAATTATGGGTAGGGGTCAGCACTGGCAAGAAAGAATATAGGAAGGGGGGAGTTAGGCCATGGGGGATTGGATGAGTACGAGGCAAATGGGGGAAAACTATTGGTGAGATTGGTTAAAAACACATAGGAGAGCATGCACAAAATGGAGGGGAAAATTTAGGAGAAACGGCAAACAAACAGCTCTGGATCATAACAATGTGGAAAACAACATGATTACATGACTAGAAATATTCATGCTTTTCTATATACATAACACTTACAATGGTTTGTTCAAAGTGAAAGGATCGTGAAAACCAAATGAACCATGCGTATGTTCATACCTCAGGAAAATCGTGAGAAGTTGAAATGGATCCTGCAAGTCGACGCCAACAAATACGTTACTTTATTAACATGTATACGGGAAAATGATCACTAAAATATGTCTCACCAACATGCACATGAACATCAAAATGACAACGATTTGTCCACACTTGATCAATCAAGGTGTTGCGTATTGTTGTTGGAGCTTGAACGCATTGAGACAAAGAGAGAGACTTCATAAAGTTGAGAAATCGAAGCGGCATCGATTTGGAATCGTCAAAATTGAGATCGCCAATTATCATAATTTTGGCACTTGGGATCGTGGCAACGACTTGTTGCAACAAATCGTAGAAACTTGCATGAGATGATGCTGGATTACGATACACACATAGGACATATGTGTTTGATAGTGCAGTATAATGCAAAACAATAATCTGAACATTGTCGCTTATCACGTGAGAGAAGACGGAAACACGAGTATCGTTATATGCAACAAGCATTCCACCAGAATCCCAATCTTGCCTGAATACCGAACAGTCTCCAAACATGGAACCATGAGAATCATGAGGCGAAAGATGTGTTTCAACCAACAAAATAAAATCAAAAGATTTCGCGAGAATTGCGTTAATCAATGCACAATCACGCCGAAACTTGCGTATGTTATGGAGATAAAACCTCCCCTCACATCGAGCTGTTGCGATTTCCTCTACTGGAATCGGAGACATACGCAGTTTAGTATCACGCAAACGGATCATTTCTCTTATTACGTCGTTGTGAATGTGAACACTGTGTTCAGAGAAATCCTCCAAAAAGAGCATTTCATGCGACTTAAATCTACTCAACGCAACGTATGCCATGTGATGGAAAACTTGGCGACGAAAATGAACAACGCCCGAAACAAATGTTGATCCCCGACTACGATGTATACTAATAGCAGCACTTACTCGAAGTGGGAACTGCATTCTTGAAACTTCGTTGTTCCTATGGTTGATGGAGAATCGCCGCTCGATTCGCACAATGGGAGTCAATCTTGCATCGGTGATACGCCATTCGGAAAACAAGGGAGCACTATTGCGTCGAGCTTTCTTACCAACGCGATCGTTGTCAAAGTGTACCCAAATGACAGAAACCTCACCATTTTCTTCTCGAGAGAAGCCTTTTATGACTCCAGGAGTCCCGTTTGCAAGACCGTCGACCGTATCAATGTTCAACACAACGTGAACTTGACAACCAAGATACAAATGCAAAAAATTGTACAGACCTGATGTATTCCTTGGATTCTTGGAGGCATATTTTGATGGCCCTTTACATCGAGTTGCAGATTTATCAAACAAGTGAAGATCGTGAGCCGGTATGATATGTTTCTCTTGGGTAGATATCTCAAACATTTTGGCGTTATGTGCATCAATGTCGACATTTCTAGAAAACAAATGTTGAAGGGATGCAGAGTTGTCGATATGTCTGTTCATGGATGTGAAAAAAAGGAGGTCATCTTTTGTATGTTTCCCTTCTCGCAAACGATTAAGACGTTCTGCAAATAATTGCTCATTCTTTTGGCGCATGATCGTCACAAGTTCAACCATTTTAAACAACTCCCACACGTTATCCTTACCGATGACACTGTGAGGATTATTTTCAGCGAAGCAATATTTGTCAGCAATAGGAGGCAATTGAAAGAAGTCACCAACTAATATAACGTGCAACCCCCCAAAGGGTATATGTGCCGCCCCGCACAGCTCTCTTAATCGCCAATCTAACCAATGAAAGGTATGCTTACTGAGCATCGAAATCTCATCAACAACGACCAATTTGACATCACCAAAATTTGACCTTAACGTTTTTAATCGATCAGATGATAAGTTAGAAATTGTGCGATTTTGAGAAATCGGTATCATAAGTGCATTGTGTATCGTGTATCCACCTATGTTGAATGCTGCTACCCCTGTGGGCGCCATTTTCAACACTGTAATTGACGTAGGGTTGCAGTTTATGGATGAGTTGAATATTCTAGACAACCGTTCGGTCACAACATTGATCAACACAGACTTGCCAACACCTGCTCCACCAGTTATGAACAACCGTAACGGACTTCCTTGAAACCGAATATGGTGTACAATATGATCACATACCGCCCGTTGTTCGGGGTTTAATGACCTCTCAAGTTGCATATATTCGTAGTCGTTAATGAGCTCGTAAGAAAAAACATCGTTGGCTCGTCGTACATTTTTTTCAAGATTCAACTCATTTGCAATGTCAACACTTTCAACGTCGCTCTCTACAACCTTATTCGTTGTCTCAAAGACATTTGATTCTTCGTTATCACAGTTGGACTCGGCTGCTTTGAATGCGTCTGCCCAACAATCACTACCATTCGTATACACCGCTTCTTTCTCCATGATTGCCACTTCATTTTCCTTGAAGATTGTCGCAATAAGCCCAAAATCAGATGGCTCTTCTCGAAATGGGTGGTAAAGTAAAACCCTCTCGCGTATGTAATTTTCAAAGTCTTGGTTCTTATGATAGTTAACGAATCGTATAATTTTGCCTCGCTTACGTTTATAGTAGAACTTTCTCTTACCTGATAGGTCAGGACCAATCATACGCATACTTCTCGTACCTTCAAGCTGTGATGCAATCTCGTACAGTGACACGAAATCCGCCAAACACGTGGACTCCAAGAGCACCGGTCTCTGTTTGTACCTTTCCATACACGCGTATGGTTGATAAACATCAGTACTAGTCGACTCTAGTGCTTTCAAATCTCTAATCGATTTCAGGGTTAGCAGTCGTTCGTCGCACGGAGCGGTGTTCACAAAATGAACTTGTCGGGATGATAATCGATACTTCAAACCAAGTAATAGATAGCACGCTTCTTGCGCACTGATCTCTTGAGAATTAAGCATCGCGTTTCCTAGAAAGTGCAAGACTGCTTTTATTCCGCCATTTTCTTGCCGTGCTTTAGTCAAAGCCCGTCGCATCATAAGGCTCATGCCTTTGTTTGCCTTGGTCATGTACGAAACAACATACGCTGCCACGCTGTACGGGTCAACGCATAGTTGAACATCCATATTACCGTTCCAAGCACCAAGCAAAGCTGGATTATAGTTGTTAACATAGACATCACAAACTTGCCGCTTTAGTAAAAGCGAGACCCGCTTTAGAGTCGAACGTATCGCCAAGATGTAATCATCAAACCTTAATCCAACCTCTTGAAGAAATGACGCAAACGTACAATGGTTAGATGTCGTCACATGATCAAGCCATTCTTTGACATGTTTAACATTGGTGCTTACCTCTTTGCGTTGTTGCCCCGACAAAGCATTTGAGATGGGATGCAAAACCAAAGTAGTAGGCAGCGGAAACCTTGGAAAACCAAACCTGCACTTACTAGTGCTTGCATATGCTCTTTTGCATGTTCCTGAATGTCTATGGGTTTGTAAGGATAGCAATCTTGAATCCAATCCATGGGATGATGTACTAATATGCACATCCGCGTATTTTACTATCTCGTCAACTCCTTTATGACCCAAGCACTTTGCTGACTTGCTCCAAACAACTGCATGGGTATGCGGAGCGCCTCGATGCTGAAATTCATCGAGGGCAAAATAGTCTTCCACACCACCAAGAATCTCGGATGTGTTTGTTAGTAGCTGAGAAAATACCAACCTTTTTTTGAAATCATAATAACGAGCACACGTGACAGGATCCTTCCGAACCAACGTGCTAATCGTATTGTAATTGCACGGCACGTCGACTTTGTCGGGTAAGCTGCACGGGTTTCCACGCAAAGCATTCACCTTCAGTAATATGGCGTGCAGTTCCGTCCATTTCGTGTCCGCCATGGATAGTGTCAGAAAAAACGTCGGCCTACCTATTTGTCGCAACATTGCGAAGATATCTCGCTTGCACTTATCCCTATACTGTTGTGTAGTACGAATCGTTTTAAAATCGTTATAAAGAGTATCGTTTTGCTGCAAAAATGCGCGTTTCTTTTCGTTTAGCAGATCAGCGGCCGTATAAGTCCGCACATTCTGTATTTTTTCTTGTCTGACCCTTGTTGCAATCACATTTTGGACTTGTAAGATCTCCTTTTTGTACATTTTGAAAAAAATGTTCGCTATATTCGTAGCACAACGACCATTTGCATGCTTTAACTCCCATTTGACAAGGTCTGAATATGACACGTTTGGGTTATGTAGCCCGTTGGATCTTCGTTGACCACAGTATATCGAAGGGAAACTTAGCTCTTCGACATCGTTGTCAAATAGAATTGATGTTGGCCTTGACAGTTCGCCTGGGGCAATTTGCACCGTGAGTTGAGATGGTTGTTGGTAGAAGGGTTCTTGCAATAAAATTGTATCCAACACCCCAACATTGTGCTTATCGATCTTATCACTTTCATTCGAATTTGTTGAAGTTGTAATGGCACCGTCGACATCTGAATCTTTGCTGTTACTCAATGATGATCCCTTGCTAGTATTTTCTAGTAATCGTACATTTGCTTCATCCAGTTGAATATTTTTCTCTACGAACAATGTCTGTTTGCACAAAAATTGCAAAGCTTTAAACACTTTTGTCGGACGGACGTTTTCTTCAAATGCACTATTTTTATATTCCATTTTACGTTTTAAACGCACTGTAACAGTGTGTGTATCATCGCACGTTCTTGGTAACGAGTTCACCATTTTATCAACCTTAACAGGAATGTTTATGACCCCACCTATAATACCGTACTGCTTTCCAACAGACAATGAGTGTATTTTCATAAAAGGTATCCGCGGACTTACTAGACGCTCTTCTAGGTTCGTCAAGCCAAGAAGCTCCTTCGGCTGGAATGGAAAGCCAATACCGTTAAGGATAGATAATGGCGGTACAGTTCCATGTTTCTTATACGTTGCACAGCTTCGACAAACACGTTCATTTAAATCCAAGCCTTGACGTGACTTGATGTGGCATCCAAAATTTAAAGTGCCGCACAATGTGCACTCAACATCTGGACCATACGTGCTTATTTTAAGAAACTTTGCAACTTCACGATTCTCACTCTTTTTGCGTGGCATCGACTCGATTGCCACACTCTTGAATTTTAGATCAAGGATTGAATTTGAGATAAAATCACCGTTCTCAGCGTGCAATCCATGATTTACTTCCATTACGTAATTTGTGTGCATGCCAATTTTATGGCATATAAAATATGAACGTGCATATGCTGCATCCATTGCATGCATAAAACCAGAGTACGTGTATCGTTTACCATTATGCCCAACTGTAAAGCGAAAACCGTGCACGGTAGATCTTATTCCGGTGTAATGCTCATTGGCACTATTATCATGTTTTGGTATTTTATCACAAACACAAAACATGGATTTGTCGTTTGATACGGACTTTGCCAGTTGTTGTGTTTGACAACCCCGGCGTCTAAGATTTTTCTTATTCTTATTCCTAATCAGTTTTATGGTCGTTTCATCAACATGGACATCCTTCCTTTCTCGTGCTCGCTTGCCGCAATGGTGCTCTTGCCGTATTCTATCAAGCGTACCTGATGTGCTTACACCAATGCCTGTATGGCAATTGACAAAATCAGATGTGCTTGAAGCGCAATGAAGTGAAACACCCATGGGTCTGTTTCCGATAAATGAACCTGCGCTGTTATTGCTGGAGGAGGAATCTTGATGCAATGACTCATTTGGCTCGATAAAATTCTCACCTGGAACGTAGCCGGTACCATACGAAACCCCGTTTTCCGCAGGTAGTAAAAGAGAATAATGCTTATGAGCATAATCATAATGCAAATGTATCACTCCTCGAGATTCCATACCGGAAGTTGCACGAAAACAAGCGTCGTATTCTGTAGGTCTCGTCCAAATAATTGCAGAAGTGTTAAACACCACAGAAAATCCCTTCACTTCAATTATTGAACCCCATTCTGTATCACGAGAAGCGTATGCAAAGTAATCCTCTCGCGTTGCGAATTCTTTATCGTGGCCGAATCTAGCCCCGTTTGCGTAATTATACTCCTGGTTATCCCAGTTCATCGCTATATGATGCACGATCTCTCGTCTCACACGCGCATGCTGGTTTTGTGTGCCATGTAGCCACTTGGACATAGCTCGATACAAACAATTCCCATCTCCTGTAATACTGCAAAGCTGTAGCTTATATAAATTTTTGAACTCACCGTCCACTATAGCTCCAGTAATGATAGCTCTATGGCTTGAAGATGATGAGGCCATGATGTTGACTCAGGCTGCAATGCTTGGACAGCGTGAATTGCTGAAGAGAGGCAGGTTGCTTGAGCAACGGTTGCAGACAAATGAAGTTCCTGGGATTATGGGAACGGAAAGTAAGGAAGGAAAAGGAGGAACAAGGAGCGAGAGAAGATAGGGTGGAGAACAAGGAAGAGATTTGAGAAATAGACAGGTACGAGGAGAAATGGGGGCCAAGGGAATGTGAGAAAATAGAGATGAGAGAGAGAGAGAGAGAGAGAGAGAGAGAGAGAGAGAGAGAGAGAGAGAGAGAGAGAGAGAGAGTGAGAGAGAGAGAGAGAGAGAGAGAGAGAGAGAGAGAGAGAGACAGAGAGACAGAGAGAGAGAGAGACAGAGAGAGAGAGAGAGAGTGAGAGAGAGAGAGAGCGAGAGAGAGCGAGAGAGAGAGAGAGAGAGAGAGAGAGAGAGAGAGAGAGAGAGAGAGAAAGAGAGAGAAAGAAAGAGAGAGAGAGAAAGAGAGAGAGATGCTGTGCAACGCACGCCTGTATCTCACTTAATCATTCTGTCGAGGTGTTGGCTATCGCCCTGGCTTATACTACAGCTTTTAGGGTATTGCAGCCATTGCAGTAGCCATTACAACTCTTTCAGTAGTATGACCTTTGTCGTAGCCACGACAACTTTTCTCTTTTCCATGAAAAAACCATTGCTATAACCACTAAAACCTTTTGAGTGGTATAGGCCTCGCTATAGCCACTACAGCCTTTTCAGTGGTACCAGCATTGCTGTAGCCACTACAGTTTTTTGAGTCGTATAGCCCTTGCTGTAACCACTATACTTTTTCAGTGGTATAACCATTGCGGTAGATCTAGCTTTATCGACGGATTCAGCAAAAGAAAATGGTATGGCTGATGCTTGGGGGATGATTGCACATTGAGGAATGACACTCAGGACAACATTGCAGGTAAATAGTACAAAAGATTTAAATATTGTAACAAATTATTGCTCAAGTATACCTGCTTACACAGAACACTCATTGAAAAAGTGCATTCAATACTGCTTCCTAGAGTTATCATATAAACATACGTCGTGGAGAGATCGCGTTGCCTCTTCGCTCACTCCTAGTGCCGATGGGTGTAGTAAATGGGAGCTTGAAGTGTGACAGCTTGAAAATGGCAACTGTAAGAAGGGTAACATAGGGAAGTAAGACGCATGACACCATACAAAGCTACAATAATGACGAATGCAGTGGATCCGTGACAGATGCTGATCGCAAAAAACGAGGACCAAACACACCAGCATTGAGATATCCATTCAGGGCGCAAAAAAAAAACGCGAAAGCAAAGAAAGGAATAGAAGCTACATACTCAATAATGGGAAACACGTATATATAACAAGGGGCAAGGGTGCTGAATACTGGGAATCTCCTAGTTATCAAACTTCACTTGAGAACAGGGGCGATTTCCCTTTGATATTCCCTCGTTACCTCCACAGGTGTGGAGGTATGGAGGTAAAGAGGTGTGTGGAGGTATGGAGGTATAGAGGTTTGGAGGTGTGTAGGTATGGAGGTATGGAGGTATGGAGGGGTGGAGGTGTGGAGGTATGGAATGGGGGTGTGGAGGTGTGGATGTGTGGAGATATGGAGGTATGGAGGTGTGTGGAGGTATGGAGGTGTGGAGGTGTGGAGGTATGGAGGTTTGGAGATGTGTAGGTATGGAGGTGTGGAGGCATGGAGGGGTGAAGGTGTGGAGGTATGGAGGCATGGAGGTGTGGAGATGTGGAGGTATGGAGGTATGGAGGTGTGGAGGTGTGTGAAGGTATGGAGGCATGGAGGTGTGGAGGTGTGGAGGTATGGACGTGTGGAGGTATAGGGGTGTGGAGGTGTGGAGGTGTGGAGGTGTGGAGGTGTGTGGGTGTGGAGGTATGTGGAGGTATGGAGCCATGGAGGTGTGGAGGTATGGACGTGTGGAATAATGGGGGTGTGAAGATGTGGAGGTGTGGAGGTATGGAGGTATGGAGGTATCGAGGTATGGAGGTGTGGAGGTGTGTGGAGGTATGGAGGCATGGAGGTGTGGAGATGTGGAGGTATGGAGGTATGGAGGTGTGGATGTGTGTGGAGGTATGGAGGCATGGAGGTGTGGAGGTATGGACGTGTGGAGGTATGGGGGTGTGGAGGTGTGGAGGTATGGAGGTGTGGAGGTGTGGAGGTATGGAGGTTTGGAGGTGTGTGGAGGTATGGAGGTATGGAGGTGTGGAGGTATGGACGTGTGGAATAAGGGGGGTGTGAAGATGTGGAGGTGTGGAGATATGGAGGTATGGAGGTATGGAGGTGTGTGGAGGTATGGAGGCATGGAGGTGTGGAGGTATGGACGTGTGGAGGTATGGGAGTGTGGAGGTGTGGTGGTGCGGAGGTATGGAGGTGTGGAGGTGTGTGGAGGTATGGAGGTATGGAGGTGTGGAGGTAAGCACGTTTGGAATAAAGGGGGTGAGAAGATGTGGAGGTGTGGAGGTATGGAGGTATGAAGGTATGGAGGTGTGTGGAGGTATGGAGGCATGGAGGTGTGGAGGTATGGACGTTTGGAATAGGGGGGGTGTGAAGATATGGAGGTGTGGAGGTATGGACGTGTGGAGGTATGGGAGTGTGGAGGTGTGGTGGTGCGGAGGTATGGAGATGTGGAGGTGTGTGGAGGTATGGAGGTATGGAGGTGTGGAGGTATGCACGTTTGGAATAAGGGGGGTGTGAAGATATGGAGGTGTGGAGGTATGGAGGTATGAAGGTGTGGAGGTGTGTGGAGGTATGGAGGAATGGAGGTATGGTGGTGTGGAGGTGTGTGGAGGTATGGAGGCATGTAGGTGTGGAGATGTGGAGGTATGGAGGTATGGTGGTGTGGAGGTGTGTGGAGGTATGGAGGCATGGAGGTGTGGAGGTATGGACGTGTGGAGGTATGGGAGTGTGGAGGTGTGGTGGTGCGGAGGTATGGAGGTATGAAGGTATGGAGGTGTGTGGAGGTATGGAGGCATGGAGGTGTGGAGGTATGGACGTGTGGAGGTATGGGAGTGTGGAGGTGTGGTGGTGCGGAGGTATGGAGGTGTGGAGGTGTGTGGAGGTATGGAGGTATGGAGGTGTGGAGGTATGCACGTTTGGAATAAGGGGGGTGTGAATATATGGAGGTGTGGAGGTATGAAGGTGTGGAGGTGTGTCGAGGTATGGAGGAATGGAGGTGTGGAGATATGGACGTGTGGAATAATGGGGGTGTGAAGATGTGGAGGTGTGGAGGTATGGAGGTATGGAGGTATCGAGGTATGGAGGTGTGGAGGTGTGTGGAGGTATGGAGGCATGGAGGTGTGGAGATGTGGAGGTATGGAGGTATGGAGGTGTGGATGTGTGTGGAGGTATGGAGGCATGGAGGTGTGGAGGTATGGACGTGTGGAGGTATGGGGGTGTGGAGGTGTGGAGGTATGGAGGTGTGGAGGTGTGGAGGTATGGAGGTTTGGAGGTGTGTGGAGGTATGGAGGTATGGAGGTGTGGAGGTATGGACGTGTGGAATAAGGGGGGTGTGAAGATGTGGAGGTGTGGAGATATGGAGGTATGAAGGTATGGAGGTGTGTGGAGGTATGGAGGCATGGAGGTGTGGAGGTATGGACGTTTGGAATAGGGGGGGTGTGAAGATATGGAGGTGTGGAGGTATGGACGTGTGGAGGTATGGGAGTGTGGAGGTGTGGTGGTGCGGAGGTATGGAGATGTGGAGGTGTGTGGAGGTATGGAGGTATGGAGGTGTGGAGGTATGCACGTTTGGAATAAGGGGGGTGTGAAGATATGGAGGTGTGGAGGTATGGAGGTATGAAGGTGTGGAGGTGTGTGGAGGTATGGAGGAATGGAGGTATGGTGGTGTGGAGGTGTGTGGAGGTATGGAGGCATGTAGGTGTGGAGATGTGGAGGTATGGAGGTATGGTGGTGTGGAGGTGTGTGGAGGTATGGAGGCATGGAGGTGTGGAGGTATGGACGTGTGGAGGTATGGGAGTGTGGAGGTGTGGTGGTGCGGAGGTATGGAGGTATGAAGGTATGGAGGTGTGTGGAGGTATGGAGGCATGGAGGTGTGGAGGTATGGACGTGTGGAGGTATGGGAGTGTGGAGGTGTGGTGGTGCGGAGGTATGGAGGTGTGGAGGTGTGTGGAGGTATGGAGGTATGGAGGTGTGGAGGTATGCACGTTTGGAATAAGGGGGGTGTGAATATATGGAGGTGTGGAGGTATGAAGGTGTGGAGGTGTGTCGAGGTATGGAGGAATGGAGGTGTGGAGATATGGACGTGTGGAGGTATGGGAGTGTGGAGGTGTGGTGGTGTGGAGGTATGGAGGTGCGGAGGTGTGTGGAGGTATGGAGGCATGGAGGTGTGGAGATGTGGAGGTATGGAGGTATGGAGGTGTTGAGGTGTGTGGAGGTATGGAGGCATGGAGGTGTGGAGGTATGGACGTGTGGAGGTATGGGGGTGTGGAGGTGTGGAGGTATGGAGGTGTGGAGGTGTGTGGAGGTATGGAGGTATGGAGCTGTGGAGGTATGGATGTGTGGAATAAGGGGGGTTTGAAGATGTGGAGGTGTGGAGGTATGGAGGTTTGGAGGTATGGAGGTGTGGAGGTGTGTGGAGGTATGGAGGCATGGAGGTGTGGAGATGTGGAGGTATGGAGGTATGGAGGTGTTGAGGTGTGTGGAGGTATGGAGGCATGGAGGTGTGGAGGTATGGACGTGTAGAGGTATGGGGGTGTGGAGGTGTGGAGGTATGGAGGTGTGGAGGTGTGTGGAGGTATGGAGGTATGGAGGTGTGGAGGTATGGACGTGTGGAATAAGGGGGGGTTGAAGATGTGGAGGTGTGGAGGTATGGAGGTTTGGAGGTATGGAGGTGTGGAGGTGTGTGGAGGTATGGAGGCATGGAGGTGTGGAGGTATGCACGTGTGGAGGTATGGGAGTGTGGAGGTGTGGTGGTGTGGAGGTATGGAGGTGTGGAGGTGTATGGAGGTATGGAGGTGTGGAGGTATGCACGTGTGGAATAATGGGGGTGTGAAGTGTGGAGGTGTGGAGGTGTAAAGGTGTGTGGAGGTATGGAGGCATGGAGGTATGGAGGCATGAAGGTGTGGAGATGTGGAGGTATGGAGGTATGGAGGTGTGGATGTGTGTGGAGGTATGGAGGCATGGAGGTGTGGAGGTATGGACGTGTGGAGGTATGGGGGTGTGGAGGTGTGGAGGTGTGGAGGTGTGGAGGTGTGGAGGTATGTGGAGGTATGGAGGCATGGAGGTGTGGAGGTATGGAGGTGTGGAGGTATCGAGGTATGGAGGTGTGGAGGTGTGTGGAGGTATGGAGGCATGAAGGTGTGGAGATGTGGAGGTATGGAGGTATGGAGGTGTGGATGTGTGTGGAGGTATGGAGGCATGGAGGTGTGGAGGTATGGACGTGTGGAGGTATGGGGGTGTGAAGATGTGGAGGTGTGGAGATATGGAGGTATGGAGGTATGGTGGTGTGGAGGTGTGTGGAGGTATGGAGGCATGGAGGTGTGGAGATGTGGAGGTATGGAGGTATGGTGGTGTGGAGGTGTGTGGAGGTATGGAGGTATGGAGGTGTGGAGGTATGGAGGTATGAAGGTGTGGAGGTGTGTGGAGGTATGGAGGCATGGAGGTGTGGAGATGTGGAGGTATGGAGGTATGGAGGTGTGGATGTGTGTGGAGGTATGGAGGCATGGAGGTGTGGAGGTATAGACGTGTAGAGGTATGGGGGTGTGGAGGTGTGGAGGTGTGGACATGTGGAGGTATGGAGGTATGGAGGTGTGGATGTGTATGGAGGTATGGAGGCATGGAGGTGTGGAGGTATGGACGTGTGGAGGTATGGGGGTGTGAAGATGTGGAGGTGTGGAGGTATGGAGGTATGGAGGTATGGAGGTATGGTGGTGTGGAGGTGTGTGGAGGTATGGAGGCATGGAGGTGTGGAGATGTGGAGGTATGGAGGTATGGTGGTGTGGAGGTGTGTGGAGGTATGGAGGTATGGAGGTGTGGAGGTATGGAGGTATGAAGGTGTGGAGGTGTGTGGAGGTATGGAGGCATGGAGGTGTGGAGATGTGGAGGTATGGAGGTATGGAGGTGTGGATGTGTGTGGAGGTATGGAGGCATGGAGGTGTGGAGGTATAGACGTGTAGAGGTATGGGGGTGTGGAGGTGTGGAGATGTGGAGGTATGGAGGTATGGAGGTGTGGATGTGTGTGGAGGTATGGAGGCATGGAGGTGTGGAGGTATAGACGTGTAGAGGTATGGGGGTGTGGAGGTGTGGAGGTGTGGAGGTGTGGAGGTGTGTGGGTGTGGAGGTGTGTGGAGGTATGGAGGCATGGAGGTGTGGAGGTATGGACGTGTGGAATAATGGGGGTGTGGAGATGTGGACGAATGGGCGGGTGTGGAGGTGTGGGGGTGTGGGGGTGTGGGGGTGTGTGGGGGTAAGGGGGCATGGAGGAGGGGAGGGGGGCGGGGGCGGGCGGGGGCGGGGGCGGGCGGGCGGGCGGGGCGGGCGGGGGCGGGCGGGCAGGGGCGGGGGCGGGGGCGGTGTGGGGGTGTGGGGGTGGGCGGGTGTGGGGGTGTGGGGGTGTGGGGGTGTGGGGGTGTGGAGGTGTGGGGGTGTGGGGGTGTGGGGGTGTGGGGGCATGGGGGTATGGAGTTGTGGACGAATGGGCGGGTGTGGAGGTGTGGGGGTGTGGGGGTGTGGGGGTGTGGAGGTGTGGGGGTGTGGGGGTGTGGGGGTGTGGGGGTGTGGGGGCATGGGGGTATGGAGTTGTGGACGAATGGGCGGGTGTGGAGGTGTGGGGTGTGGGGGTGTGGGGGTGTGGAGGTGTGGGGGTGTGGGGGTGTGGGGGTGTGGGGGCATGGGGGTGTGGAGTTGTGGACGAATGGGCGGGTGTGGGGGTGTGGGGGTGTGGGGGTGTGGAGGTGTGGGGGTGTGGGGGTGTGGGGGTGTGGGGGCATGGGGGTATGGAGTTGTGGACGAATGGGCGGGTGTGGAGGTGTGGGGGTGTGGGGGTGTGGGGTGTGGGGGTGTGGAGGTGTGGGGGTGTGGGGGTGTGGGGGTGTGGGGGCATGGGGGTATGGAGTTGTGGACGAATGGGCGGGTGTGGAGGTGTGGGGGTGTGGGGGTGTGGGGGTGTGGAGGTGTGGGGGTGTGGAGGTGTGGGGGTGTGGGGGCATGGGGGTGTGGAGTTTTGGACGAATGGGCGGGTGTGGGGGTGTGGGGGTGTGTGGGGGTATGGGGGCATGGAGGTGTGGAGGTATGGAGGTGTGGACGAATGGAGGAGTGGAGGTATGGACGAATGGGCGTGTGGAGGTATGGACAAATGGAGGAGTAGAGGTATGGAGGTTTAGGTATGGAGGAAAAGCGGCGAAGGCAGCGTGCGCCACGCCAGCACGCCTGCCGATGCGCGGCGACTGCGTACGTGAGTGGCGACTGCCGTCACGATACGCTTGCATGCGTTAGCGGCGACTGCAGCGACCGCCACCACGGTTCGCGGCGAGCGTCGCGCTCGTCGCCACGAGAGCGGCGCGAGCGTCGCATCAAGTGGGACGAGCGCCATGGCCCGTGGCGCCGCCACGGGGATGCCGTGGCGTGCGCCATGCGCGTCCGCCTCTCCAGCATAGCTAACTACAAAAGAAAAGAAAGAAAGAAAAAAAAAAAGGGTTTGAACGGGCTTACCAAGGTAGACCGAAGCCAGGTTGAAAGCTGTGGGAGAAGTTGATCGTCCTTTGGAGAGTGCAAATGTCGAGGTGAAATGGCTTCAAGAATTGGGCGTAGGAGTTTTGGAGGAATCAAGAACCGCGCAACCTGCATCCGAACCGCGGGTTTCTTGATCTTTTCCAGCATTTAGGTGAGACGAAATTGCCGGTTTCCCACCAAGTTTCTGCTGGTTTCTGCTGTTTCCCAAGGCAGACTGGGCTGAGGCACGGGACACAATCACGTGAAACGACACCTCATACGAAACTAACTGCACCTCTGCTCGCAATGATTAGGCTGCAACAACGGGTGGAAAAAAACCCTCTCATTGTAACCAACCAGACACCCTAAGGGCGCGTCAAATGTTCATGAACTCAGATTCATTGTTTTTGCAGAGATTCGCAAAGGGCGAGCATGAAACGAACACCGAAATGAACATGGGGAGAATTGGGCTGTAGCGCGTGTCACATTTTTCGGAGTGGGGATCTCGGGGCTGTCGCGCCAATTTGGCGAGTATCGTAAATTTTGTTACTTTCGCCGAAAACTGGTGCTCACTTGACGGTCACAGAAATGTGACGCGCCCTAAGCGCTGACCAGGCCATACTGCAAAAGTATACACTATGTGGTACACTTTGAGTGTACACTTTTGCACACTCATAATAGTGTATACTTTGATATGCACACTCAAAGTATACACTATTATGAATGGAAGTTAAATGATTGAAGGAAAGGATTGTATTTCATGCAATTGTCACATCTATACCATATATTTTTGACACTAATATGTGTGTCATCCATTCATATTGATGTTTTTTCCAAACAAAAGTTCATGCAATATTGCTAAGTGCGTGCCATATCGAACCATTCATATTAAAAAAAAAATATTACCCAGTAATTGACACATACGCGTATTGGCATGCTTATCAATACCGTATTACAAAAGTTTGTTCCTTGCGAGTGTATTCAAACTTTTTAGATCTCTTTTTCGTTTGTTTGTAAACGGAATGCATCTTCATAAGGAGGCTGCGCAACCCTTTCGGCGCTCAACGTCGAACCTTGTTCTCTCTAACACCCCTTGGACGTACAGTATCTTCTGTATTGCAGATCTTTCCTTCCTCTCGTTTGTAGAACACGACTTCCCCACACCATGCGACGCGATGTCATCAATGGCCACACTGCTCGTCATACGCGGCGCTCACACAACAGTCACTCTATGCGAGCACCCCACTCCACCTCACCCTCCCTCACCTCCCCCCTTTGTGGTTGTCCTATAATTTGTGCCTTTAGAGAGATTTTTACGGTCGAGATTACAGTCATGTATCATTTGAGCTTCTGAGTAATCGTACTTGTTCATAAAATTTCACAGGCGGCCTACAATGACGGAACGCACCATCATTCATAACTCGTGTGAATTCAGCAACAAAGGGGCACACCCATCTTGTTTGTCACACCCTAGCTGTTAGCACAGCCACAGAATGCTGCGACCAGCCAACCAGCCACCAACCAACCAATCCAGTGCAAGCCTAGGTAGTTCGCCTTTCTCGGTGATCCACGCATTCGAGAAGAGCGCGTTTCCCATGCCATCTTGTGAACAGTTTCCGATCTACTCGCAGATTTGCAACCACAACAGAAGTTTCCTTTTCCAGGTTCCCTTTCCTCCTGGCTTTCCTTGTTATAGCACCCTGAACTATGGTTTCCTGGAAAAACATTTTCGGTTGACAATACTCTTCAAGTTTGAGGGTAAGGGAAGCTAAGACACTGACGAATGCTTCACAGCACAGACAATACTCCTGCAAACCCATCGTGAAACATCTCCTGTATTTCAGCTCGGGAAATTGCTGAAATCAAACTTCATTACCCGTGAGAAGCAGCTTTTCCCGCGTGCGTGCAGCCACCCCAGCCTCGCCTCCCTTGCTTCGCGTGCGCTGCCGCGCGCCAGCCAGCCAGGCCAACAACCCAAGCAGGCGGTCAAGAACACAGCCTTTTCGCCCAGACCTGGACGGGAGCCCTGGACCACACCAGCAGAGCAGATTCCTCCACAACCCACCCCAGTTCCAAGTTCCATCCCAGTTCCAAGTTCCTTCCCAGTTCCAAATTCCATCCGTCCCACCGCTGAAAACCCTACAAAAATGCACTGTACCGTACTGAACGTACAGTAGTTAACACGTCTGTTCATTCATCCTCTCCGTTCTATCCCGTCTCCCCCAACCAGCCTGGCTCCGCATCTATTTCTGTCGTCCAAATTCTTGAGCACAGAAGGATTTCCCCTGGAAGAACCCTGCGTTCTTCGTTACCTCCGGTCTGCCCCGCTCCGTTGAGTCAACACTCTTGCGACTATCAGCTTGCAAGCAGCAAGTATTTCTCCCGTCGCTCGGCACTAAACCACGTCCTATCTCCTCGTGACATCTATCTCGTCCTCTCGTTTCTCGGGCGTTTTGGCGCTTCAAATCAAGTCGTTCCTCGACGTAGTAGTCGCGAATCTTGGATTCGATCGGAATCCATTCGGTTTCCACTCACCCCTCCGCCGAAGCATGTCGATGGCGGACGTCGAGTCGGCATCAATCCCCATGGAATCCTCTCTGGCCGCCACGTGGCAAGAAAGCGACAGCTCGTCCTACCACAACGGCGCCGTCCCTCTCGCTAAATTCGCGTCCGAGCCAACGCCGCGAATCACGGGCGACGACGACGAACCGAACGACGTCGACGACGACGAGGCTGCGCTGGCGGCTGCGTTGGCAGAATCGTCGCCGTCGCCGTCGCCGTCGCAAGTGTCGCGATCGACGACGTCGGGATCGGGGGGGTCGTCGCGGTCGCACAGGTCGCTAGACGACGCGGGCGATCAGTTGTCGGTGGCGGGGCACGAGGCGGACATGGAGAAGATGCGCGCCGCTATTACCGCCGCGGGGATCTCGCTGGAGGTGAGGAGGAGGTGGTGGCGTGAGGCGGGGTGAGGGTTGAAGGGGATACGGGGAGGTGTTACGGGGAGGTGATACGGGGAGGTGATGCGGGGAGGTGAGAATCTATCCAGGGGAGGTGGGGCATTTTCCTGGGGAAGGTGAGCTGGGGAGTGTACGTAGTCCTATGGTGCTAAATCTTGGGGAGATTAAACGCATCGCGCGTTCGTGGTATAAAGATTGCGTCTGAAGGACCTGCTTGTCTCCCTGCCCTCGCGGGTTCTCCTGCTCTCGCGGATACTCCTCCCCGCCTCCCCTCACGCCGGCGACTTTGAGCGGAAGTTGACGGTCCGCCATCAACAAGTCGCCTGGAGCGTGCTGCAGCGTGCGGAGAGGCGCAAGCTGCAGCAGCCGCTGCGGACCGCCAGGCTGGCTGGCTGGCTGGCTGGCTGGCTGGCTGGCTGGCTGGCTGGCTGTCTGTCACCGCGCCTCGCTACTGGCCTGACAGGCTGTCCGTGTCGTTGGCTTCTGCGGGTAGAAACCAGGCTGGCTGCCTCGCTGTCGCCTCGCCTCGCCTCCCTTGGTCCGCTCCCCCCTTCTTCCGCCTTCGTCCCCCTTCTTTCCACGTCTCTTCCGTCTTGACGTCCCTACTTCCGCCCCGTCCCCCCGCTCTTACGCTCCTGAGGAGTTCTCATCCACCCTCTTCATCTAACCCCGCTCCCTCCCGCTCCCTTCCCCCCGGTCCTCCCCTCTTCCCCCACGCCGCCACCCTCCTCCTCCATCCCCGCGCTCCCACGTCCCCCGCACAAACCCCCCCCCCCCCTAGGGCGTGTCGGAGCTGACTGTGCTGCGCTTCCTGGTGGCGCGCTCCTTCAACGTCGACCGCTATGTACACCGAGCACCGCCAGTGGCGGAGCGCGCTCATTCCGCCCTCCGCGACTGAATTTACCTACCCCGATTTCCCCACTCCTTTCCCCCGGTACCCCGCGCTCGCCTCTCCCCCCGCACATCCCCCCCCTTCCTTAGGGTGTGTCGGAGCTCACCCTCCTCCGCTTCCTGGTGGCGCGCTCGTTCAACATCGACCGCGCGTCCACGATGTACATCGAGCACCGCAAGTGGCGCGCGACCTTCATTCCGCCTGACTTCTACCCCGCGCGCGCGGGCGACCCCGAGCCGCAGTTCCCGCCCGCGCTGATGGCGTCCGTGTCGCTGCAGTGCGCGCCCGGGGAGCGCTCGTGGGCGATCTGCCGCCTGCGGTACCACGACGCTTACCAGCGGAAACTGGACGAACTGCTCAGTGCGTGCTGGGGGGGGGGAAGGGGGGGGAGGGGAGTAGGTTAAAGGAGGGAAAGGGAGTGGGTGATCTGCGCCTGCGGTACCACGACGCGTACCAGCGGAAACTGGACGAACTGCTTGAGTGCGTGCGGGGAGGAGGTGGTGGTGGTGGTGGGGGGGGGGGGGGGGGAGGGGGGGGAGAGTGTGGCGGGGTGAGGAATAAGGGAAGGGGGAAAAGGGGCTGGGTGATCTGCCGCCCGCGGTTTCACGATGCTTACCAGCGGAAACTGGACGAGCTGCTGAGTGCGTGCGGGGGGTGGGTTGGAGGGTGGGGGGGATGTAGGGGGTGGAGGGGCTTGAGGGTGCCTCATTCCATGCGTGCTGTCTGTCTGTTGCACACAAGACGATATTGAACATCCCTCCGCCTGTTGGACTCGTCTCACTTCCCCTCCCCCACTCTCCCCCCTCCTGTTCCTCCACTGCCCCTCCCCCCCTCTCGCTCGCCTCTCCCTACCATAAGCAACGGCCGTCTCAACTGAAACTTACCTCCTCTCCCCCTCCCCCTCCCCCTCCCCGCCCCTTCCCCCCCCCGCCCTCTCCCTGCTCTCATCTTTCCCAATCTCAGAGTCCGTCGTGTATACCATGGATAAAGCCATCGCGAGGTAATTGAAACCACGGGCAACTGGGTGAGATGGCTTGGGGGTACAGATAGGTTGGGGGATTCCGGGCATAGGAATCAAGGCAATTCTTGGAGTTACTTTCAACCTGCAGGCAGGCAGGCAGACAGGCGTTACAAGTCACCTTGGTCTATCTTTCTCTCATGCTGAGGCTACCATGGTTCTTTCAAGCCATGGTTCTTTCTTTCAAGGCCGTTTCACTCCTCCTGTATGCAGGGCAGGGCCCCTGCACGCACTCCACCGCTCACCCTTGCATCTGCTCTTCTTTCCTCTCCTCTCCTCTCATCTGCTGCCCATGTCCGTTTGCCGCCGCTGCAGTCTGCCCCCGGACTGGACCTGCACAAGTTTGGCGTGATATTCGACCTGCAGGGCATGGCGTACAAGAACCTCCCTGCTCATATCCTACGTTCCCTGCCCTCCACTCACTCACCCGCCGACCCTCTCCTCCCGCACATCTCTGCCCGTCCCCCCTGCGCAGCCTACCCCCCGACCTGCACAAGTTCGGCGTGATATTCGACCTGCAGGGCGTGGCGTACAAGAACATGGACTCGCGAGGGGGCATCGCGTCGCTCATCCTGCTGCAGAACCAGTTCCCCGAGCGCCTGGCGAAGCTCTTCTTCATCCACGTGCCCTCCATCTTCTGGGGCGTCTGGAAGATCGTCTGCCCCTTCATCGACCCTTACACCAAGAAGAAGGTACTCTCTCCCTCTCTCTCTCTGCCCCACTCTCTCTACCCCACACCCTGGGGCTGCCTGTGGTGCGCTTTGTTGAGGTGGCCCGCGAGTTGTCTCAGAGTCACGTGTCTGGAAGATCGTTTGGCCCCCTTCATCGACCCCTTCGTCTTCTCCTCACCTCCCCCCAGTTCCCCATTGTGGAGGGCCACAAACCGACTAGGACTCTGTTGCACGTCATCCCGGCCCACGTGTCTTTGAGTCCACTCACAAGCCCCCCCCCCCCCCCCCCCGCCCCCCCCGCCCGCCCTTGGCTCCCTCCCCCTTCCCCAGATCTCGTTTGTGGAGGACCGCCACCTGACAAGGACGCTGCTGGAAGTCATCCCCCCGCACGTGCTGCCATCGGCGTACGGGGGCTCCGCTGACTTTGTGCCGCTCAAAGACGTCCCCGTCTCCAACTGGCCGCACCCCACTGACTAACCGCCCGCTCTTGCTGCTGCCTCTGCTGCTGCTGCTGCTGCTGCTGCCACCACAGCTGCCATGCCCACTCAGCCGTCGCCCCTCACCACTCCTCTCCCTCCCCAGCATCGCCTTCAGCTCCAGCCCTTCGCTGCTCACCCACCACTCGCTCTCAATGCTCCTCCTGCCACTTCTCGTGGTCACTGCTCTGCTCCTAACTGCCTCTCACAACCTCCCCTCGCAGTCTTGGCTCGACCCGTCAAGCGTGCCAGTGGTGTTTTGTTTAACCTCCTTGTTAGCCCCCTCCTCGTCTTGTACTGCACGCGCGTATTGTTTTGTGCCGTTATCCATTCTGCCCTGAAGCGAAACGCTTCCCCCCCTCCTCCCCTCCTCACCACAGTGTTGCATGCACTTACCTGCCATACCCCCCATCACCATCATGCAGTAGCCTGGCCCGGTTTCGCCGAAGCTTTGTGTTGTGTCGTCCTGTCCTTGCCCCTACACACACCCAACCCAACCACTGGTATATACGCTTGCGTGCACACACGCTGACATGGCCTTGCTTGCTAATTTTAAGCCCTGCACAGACCGCATCCGCACATCAACTGAAATTCCCTAAGCCATAAGCCGTGCACCACAAAACATTTCCCTCACGGAAAAACAAGGTAAAACAAGGGAGATGTAGGGTTTGCGTTGTACCCTCTAAGAACACAAACCTATCTAGCTTGGTGACACTGCTGTAGTTCGTCTTAGAACTGAATGATTGAATGAAAAGAGAACAAGGGTACAAGGATATATGCCTAAGGGTTGTACTCTCTAAGAGATGACCCTATACAGACTACACAAACATGAGAGATACAAGTGTTTGACACACCCCCTAGACTGCATAGGGGCAGTTCCTGAACAAGCAGCTCAGGGCGGCACTACTAGTCCAGCCACTGAGACAAGGGTCTAATGACCAATCAAAAGGAGTACAGGCAAGGCAAGACCAAGGCCAGGGCAGCACTACTAGTCCAGCCACTGGGAGAGGACACAAGTCCAGTCTGAGTAAATATATATAAAGAACAGTACAAGTCAAGGCCCTAGCAAGTGAGAGACTACATGAACTAGACTTAGCTGTACACAGTGCCGCTGATGATCTTTACGCGCAAGCGCCTTCGTAAAGATATCAGCTGTGCTGGCACCTGAGGCCAAGTGTACTACGCGAGCCTGGCGGCGCTGCTGTAGCTCGCGCAGGAGGAAGTACCGCAGCTGGATATGCTTCGCTCTGCCCTCGAGTCGAGGCTCCTGACAGAGGAGGATCATGGCCCTGTTGTCAGCGTACAGGACCGGGGCAGAGCTAGACCACTCACCTAAGTCAGTGAGCAAGAAGGTCAGCCAGCGGAGCTCCTGTGCCGCCATGGCACCGGCGTAGATCTCGGCCTCACAGCTAGACTGGGCAACAGACGAGGAACGAGTAGCTCTCCACGAGACGGCACCTGAACCAAGGCTGAAGCAGTAGCCCTGAGAAGACCTCAGGGTCTCGGCGTCGTCTGCCAAAGAAACGTCTGAGTGTCCAGTAAGGACCACTAGCCTGCGCCCTCCTAGCACTAACCCCATGCCCGATGTACTTGCAAGATAACGCAAGACCCTCTTAGCGGCAGACCAGTGCTGCGGTCAGTGTCTACCTGTGGCCACAAAGCGAGCCAGGATGCTGAGAGGGTATGCGAGATCTGGGCGAGTGCAAGTCATCAGGTACATGAGGCAACCCACCAGCTCTGCGTACGGACCACTGGGCTCTGCTGACTCCTCAGGAACTGGAGCAGAGAGTCTGTGGTCTACCGACAGAGGGGTGGGCTGTGCCAAGGAGAACTGAAGGCCGAACCTCTGAAGGACATGGCGCACCAAGTGTGACTGAGTCAAGGTGATGGTGCGCGTTGCTCTATCCCTGGAGATGTGCAAGCCAAGGTAACGGCGCAGCTCTCCAAGGTCAGTGCAGGTGTGTCTCCTCAGCAGCTCTGCCTTCACCAAGGCCAGTGCGTCCCTGTCTGCTGTGGCAAAGACCAGGTCGTCTACGTAAACAAGAATGTAGAACGGAGTCGGGCCAGGACGAACGAAGAGCGAGGGGTCTGCAGAGGACGAAAAGAACTGTAGGTCAGCAAGGGTAGCACGCAGAGTGTCGTGCCACTCACGGGGAGCCTGCCGCAGGCCGTAGACGGGACGCCGCAGGAGCCACTGGGTCCTAGGAGGGAAGGTGCCGGCGAAACCCTGAGGGCGATGCAGGTAGACCTGCTCGTGTAGACTGCCTTGAAGAAACGCAGTGGAGAAGTCGAGGGAGTGAAGCTCGTAGTCACGCTGAGCAGCAACGTGTAGCAGCACCCGAAGAGTAGTCATCTTTGGGGTCGGGGCGAAGGTATGAAAGAAGTCCACCCCCTCACGCTGACTGAATCCTCTAGCCACGTAGCGCGCCTTGAACACATGCGGCTCTCCAGGAGGGCGCTTCACCTTGAAGAGCCAGCGGCCATCGACTACGTTCACCCCAGGTGGGGGAACTGCGTCGACGTAGGTGCCGGTGGATCTCCAAGATGCCATCTCCTGCTCCATGGCAGCTATCCACTGCGAGGCCCAAGGTCCCGAGGTCGCCTCAGCGTAAGTGCGAGGGGTCGGGATGTCAAAAGCGTCTGGGTCACCCTCAGGGACTAGCAGCATGGAACAGAGATGGGGAGCAGCCTCGGACAGGAAAGCAAGCTCGAACTGGCGGTCCTCCAGGATGTCACTGCCGAGGGCAGGAGCACCCCCGACAGAAGGAGGACCGGCAAGGTCAGAGACCAGAGCGGTGACGTAGTCAAGGCGGCGGGTAGAGGCGAAGTCAGCGACCGCAGCGACAAGAGCGTCAAGACACGAGACAGGAACAGACGGGTCGGTAACGAGAGAGGCAAGGACCCGAGGAACAAGAGGACGTGCGGCATGAAGGTAGTCAGACAGAGGAGGAGGCGCAACGGTAAGAGAGGACGGAGGAGGTGATGGTAGAAGGGGAGGACGAGACGCGTGGGACCAGAGCAACATAGAGTGAGAGCGCGGGACAGGGGAGACAGGACGAGCGCGGGAGGGACGACGAGACCAGACGTGAGACGGAGGAGTGGGGTCAGGAGACAGAGGAGGGGACACAAGCGGGGAGCGAGGGGGAAGACGAGCCGGGGACGAGTCCGGCGGAGGGAACACAAGGCCGTAGACAGGAAGAGGAGGAGACGGCAGGAGAGGAACGGACGCTGGGTTAGGGGACAGAAGGCCGAGCAGGCGGCTGACACCGGCGGGGACTGCTGCTGCGGCGGCACAACACCGGAACGGCAAGCTACTCCTCGGCTACCGCCGAGACACTCCACTCCGGCACCCTCAAAAGGAACACCCCCAGAGCCCGAAACCCCTCGAGCACCGGCACCACCCCCAAGGCTACCAGGATAGGCCACGACAGGAACCCCAAGACTAGCACCCACTCCAACGCGAGCACCCCCAGAGTCGACGGACTGCTGCTGCGAAGGCGGCGGAAACGACGGGTGCGGCGGCGGAGACGACGGCTGCTGCAAAGGCTGTGGAGGAGGAGACACCGGGGGAGGGGCAGACGGCGAGGACTGCGCCGTAGGACCACCAGAGTCAGAAGACTCCTCGACCGGGACAACGGACGGGAGAGGGGTGACGTGGGACACACTAGAGGGGGCAGGACGGGGAGGGGGAGGGGGGGGGGCAAGGACCACCGGGGAAGGAGTGACCAGGAACAGAGGGGGGGTAACAGGGGGACCGCGGTGGGGGAAGCGGCGGTAGAAGGAGACGGACTCCTTAAAGGTGACGTCACGGGAGTGAAAGAACCGGTGAGACGGCGGGTGGTAAAAGTGCCAGTCTGACGCGTCAAGGGGGAAACCAAGGAAGACGCAGGGAAGGGTGTGGACAGTGAGCTTGTCCGTGCCAGAGGCACGAACGTCAGCAAGGCAGCCCCAGACGTGGAATGCAGACGCGTTACCAGGAGACCCGGTCCAAAGAAGGGTCGGCAAAACCTGCGGCCGCTGGGGGTGCGGCCACAGGTTAAGCTGGTGGGCAGCGTAGCGCACGGCGACGGCCACAGAAAATGGGATGCACCGGCATGGATCATAAATGTGCGAGCCACCTCCATGACCAAACCGATGCGTCGCTCAGCGACCCCATTCTGCTGTGGGGAGTCCGGCAGGGTGAACGCCTGGGTGATGCCCTCCGCACGACAGAAGCGACCAAGGACACCTGAGGCAAACTCGCCACCACGGTCGGAGTGAAGACGCAAGACAGGGAGACCTCGGTGGACACGCGCAGAGACAAGCCAGGGGATGAGTGCGTCAGGCACGTCGGCCTTCTGCTCCAGGGGAAAGACTGTGGTGTAGTGAGTGAAGTCGTCGACAAGCACGAGGAAGTAGCGCTCTCGACGTGACCCATGGATGGGGGCGGGGCCCCTGACTTCCATGTGCAGGGTCTGCAACGGCGCGGCGGTAGGGGGAAACGAGGAGGAGTGAGGGGCATGACGAAGCCGACCCTCGACACAAGGCGTGCACAGTGGGGCGGGGGAGGAGGGAAAAGCGGGAAACGAATCGGGGAGACCAAGGACAAGACCATGCTGGGACATGTGACGCAGACGCGGGAGCGCATGGTGACCTAAGCGGTGGTGCCACAGAAGAGTCGGGTGAGTGAGGGACCGACAGGAGCAGGCAGCAGCAAACTGGGAAGACGCAGCCACCTGAGGGGGCGCCCCAGCCGGGGGGGGTCACGGTGTCCAGGGTGAACAAGCTGGACACCGGGTCCCGGGGGAACGTGGACAGGGGGGCACCAGTGGCGGCCTCGGTACAGACAGCATACCGCTCATGACCAGGGAACATAGTGGTGACGCCAAGGTCCTGGAGACAGCCGACACCAACTAGGTTCCTGGAGAACGAGGGGATATGCAGACCTGTGAGAGAGCCTGAAGGAACCGCCGGACAGGGAAGGGTGGTGGAACTGCGGGCGACTACGGGACCGCCGGAGGGGTCAGCAAGAGAAACTGCAGCAGGAGCAGGAAGCGGCGTCAGCGTAGTGGAGTCGCGGAAGAAACACCGGGAAGCGCCAGAGTCCAAGGTGAAGGAAAGCGAAGCAGTGGCGTCCGGTGACGGGGCGACAGTGGAAGCACCAAGGCAAAACAAAGCAAGAGCTCCTACGCCTGACGCAGCAGGGGAAGCTAAGCTAGGCACACCTACACTAGGCGACAAGGAGTAACAAGAGCATACATCACATGCAGGGCAGAAAAAATGGCATCCATGTCCATGTCAATAATCTAAACTGTGCCAGTCCGGGAGGTCAGGTGACGGGCCGAAGCGCTGACGAAACAGGTCGTCTAGGGGACAAAAACAGCGGGCAGTGACGTGACCGATCTTACCGCAAACAAAGCCGCGGCGAGGACCGGTCTGGATCTGGTACTGATAGCGCACGCCTCCTGAACCGCCATTCGGTACGCCACCACGCACGCGACCACCACCAACGCCAGGCCACCCGGGCGGGAGGGCACTCGCCTGCCTCGTCTGCTGCGGATGCTGCGGCCGGTGCAGCTACTGCGGCTGCTGTGGCTGCTGCGGCTGCTGCTGCTGCTGCTGCTGCTGGGGCGGCTGCTCAGCTGGACCTGGCAGGGTCCCCTCGTCCGCTCCACCAACAGACGACCCTACTCCACCACCACCGCCACCTGCACCCCCACCTCCTCCGCCGCGCCCAGCTTTGGGGCGGCGGCCCTTCCCCGGACGGAACTGCGCTGCAGCAGCGGC